TAAAGTTTACGTCCTTCTCAAAATTTTTTCTTCTAGGTCGAAAGGATGGCGCAAGCAGAATCTACACAACTCTTTTGCAGCCGTCGCCTTGTTAACTGTCTTCCTGTTGAAATTGGTTGACAAGATACAAATGTACTTGGGAGGTTCTTACTCAATAACCTACTTAGGCTTTTAGATTTACAGAGTTGAGTGAATGTTGTCTGCCGCTTGCGAACCATTTCGTGGGCGTTCTTAATTTTAGTGATTGGTTTCTTGTTTCCATAATAAGTGTTGCGCATATAGCCTCTGCGGCTTTCCACAATCAATTTGCTCCGATTTTTCATACTGCTACCGGTTCATCAGGGTTTCAGTCGGAACATCTGTCATTTCGATACCGGGCATGCCATTGGTGTGTGGACGCAAAAGCCTTTTGGTACGGGCTCCTTCAATAAGGCATCAACGTTAGGCGCACATTCCATAAATGCTCATGAGGAATAAGGATTCCATGAAAATGGAGATACCGCGTGTACTGAGCGATTCATCTGACTAATACAGTCTAATAAACTTCTGAAGAATACTTTATACGCGACTAAAAACACATTTATCATCTGATTAATATGGATTCCGTTACTGCTACCGTTAACACTATTCATACTGTATGGATAATGGTGGAGAAATGAAGAAAGAGGTTTGTAAGAAAGAAAAGCGAGCTTTGCAGTTTTTCAAGGTAAAAACACAGGATAATTAGCCACTGTTGGACATGCGAAAGTATATGGTTTCAGAAGAACATTCACACTATCTACCAACCAAATGCAAAGTGCCGCAAGATGGTTGGGAACTTTTTGCATGAATTATCGTGCAGCAAGAAACTTTTTTGCTTCATGATCTCGAATGCAGTAATGGAAATCCTCAAAGCAAGCCTCATTGGGCTTTTTATAAGCAGATTATGTGAATATAGCAGTAGAAAGAGCAGTGAGAACTTAAGGATGTACTGGAAAAAATTCTATATTTGTACGAATGTATGGAAGTGGGAAGTCGAATTCTTGGGAACTTAGTGGAAAGTCCAATTCTTGAAGGTGAGCTACTGAGAAGACAGAGAAGACAACCCCAAGTATCAGAAGGTCGCATCTCTGCAGAAGTAGAACTACGGTCCCAATGCAACTCCAACCCCGATTTTATATGTACTAATTTATTTGTACTATTGCGTTCAACAGCGCTTCATAGCAGTTAGCTAGCTTCTGATTATGCTCAAAATGAGGAACATAACTGCGGCGGAAAGAAGAAAGAAGAGTATAAAGAATACGAGACAGAT